GGTTTAAAATTAGTAATACAAAAACTTTATACGCGTAGAAGACGTACACCATGTGATGGTGGAATGTGTACGGGTCGAAGCAGAAAGGAGTCAGTTCTTTATGCGGTTTCTGACTCTTGAACGAGACAGTGTCGGTGTTTTAACAGTATCCTTTCATCACCCACATCGGATGAGGTTAAGGTACTATTTAAATCAGTAGCTAAATGTATTAGTAGAAAACAATGTAAAGCAGAACGATAGGGGTGGCATATTCACTTGGTGAATAAACCCTATTACATTTAAAATAAAGAGAGGAAAAAAACTTTATACTAAAGGTTATTAAGGTTAGGTTAGGTAGTAGCTGGTCGTGGTCATAGCCATGGTCACTGACGTGCTGTCATGGGAGGCGATTGCCTCATTCTGCGAGGAAGTGATGGCGCAGAAGGTGGCCGCGCAGTGTAGTCTTGAGACCATCCACTCTCGGCGCCAATCCGCAGGAGGAGAAGAAAAAGGCAGGCAATCCTGCCGCTCGGACAGCTATTCCCACCCTGGACTCTTAGAGGGTTCGTGTAAACGGACGGCACCGGTGGGTCCGTGGAAGAATGCGGAAGTATACCTGCGTTCCCGCCACAAGGCGCGTGGAGAAACACCCCTCGGAGATTTAATAGGTAGGCCTCTCTCTATTCTTAGAGAGGAGAGTCCCACATAAACTCGCGCCTCCCCCGGGCGCGGGGTATGCGTAACGCATTTCTCCGGGTAAAAAAATAAACAAGAAAAGGAAGGTAGGTTAGGTAGGTAGGTGAGGTTAGGTATTAAGTCCACAAGTATGATTTCTTTATAAATAAATAAATGAATTCGTTATATCCATAAGAAAAAAGTTCCAAATAAAGCTAAATCAGCAGTATAATTCCTCCTTTCATGATCTAACATTGATTTATAGTTTAGTCATCAAATGTTATCATAACAACGACAAAGGTTGATAAGTGAAACATTGATTGATTATTACACTCGATTTAATAGATATTAATTTATACAAATAACGGTAATTATTAGGTCAATGGATTCGTGAATACAAATAAACCTGATGTTTATTCAGGATGATTTCAGACAGTATTTACGAACCTTGGTTTTTATTTTTATGGCAATAAAACAATATAAGGTATTTTAGGCAAATACCATGGCCGCGGAATGGAATGAACGAAATAATACTAGCATAATAAACCATAATAATATAACCATAATAAAGCATAATAAACCTTATGTCAATTGTGTAACGTCTGATAGTATGATAATAATACAAATAATTTTATTTATTACACAATAAGTTAAAGTAAGGTACAATAAAAGTTTTAATACTAGAAACTAAATGTAACATTAAATTATATGAAAATTGGGTCCCCGCGGCAAAGTGTCCAAGATGCTGGCAGCGTTCCCCCTATGTATGGCTATGGTAATGCGTTGGACAATGCCGACTCTTTCTTGGATTTCCCAGGCAGTCTTTTAATTTTTTGGACTAAATTTTGTACCGATGAAGGGCAACGGGACCCCACGGGCCTGGGGTTTCGACTCCAAAGACTGTAAATAAATAGTCGGAGCCGAGGTCCTGGTACTTATTACTCTTTATTCTTTTCGCCAGTTCTGCTGCGGAGCCAGCCCTCTAGCTGGTGTGCAGGAGATGGGATGGGGTAAGTGTGTCGGCACTTGTGGCATTCCATGAGAGACATTCCAACTGGGTGTTTGCCGGTGGCTCGTGTATAGCGGGCACGTTAATCGTGGCTAAGGCCCGATGGATGATGTCGTTGAGGGCTGCATGCCGGGAGATACGGCCGGCGTTCAGCTGGCAGAAAAAACCGTAGTGACTCAGAGCACTTACGTCATAATACATTATATAGCTGAAAAACTGGTTGCGCGTCTTCCGAAGAAGTCTCGTATCCAGTTTGTATGTTATATAATTACCGCAAAGTTAATTATGCTACGTAAAATTTCGATTAGGCGGTTAAATTTATACTTAAATACAAAATTTTAATCATCATCAGCAACCCATTTATACGGCCCACTGTCGGGAACGGGTTTTCTCTCAGCAGAGGGTTTAAACCATAGTCCATTGGGTTGTGGACTTCACACGTTTTTCGAGGGTTTTCCGAAAACCGAAAACTTCATGTAATTAATTTGTATGACTGACTGATTGGATACTAGTGACATATGCACAATTGACCGGAGTGGGTTCGTTGGCTTTGTCGTTCCTGTCGGGGTCACCACTTTACCATGCGTTACATGGTATAAAATAAAATACGAGTCGTGGATATTTAATGACTGGTTTAATAATGTATAGTGCTAACTTATATACCTAAAGGTGCGTGACTCGGACAACTTAATATAATCTAAATATTCTTGATTTGCGTTGTGGCAGAAACGTGCCGATAATGGTTATCTCCTATCGACACGAATATGCTGCCACAGTAAGTTTCAAATAAAATTTCGCACAACTTCCAAGAAACTCAGAGGTGCGAGTCGAGATTCGAATCCACTGACTCTGCTCCAGAGACGTTAGGTGCCACCATTAGGCTACCACAATAGTTAGTAGCAGTAGAGCTCCCTGTGAAAGAGTTCGTCCAGGAAAATACTGCCACCTTACCTATTTCTGCCGCCAAACAGTAATGTGACTGTGCCTCATGTATCCAGTTGCGGCCCGCGAAAATTTTAATGTCATCCATCCAACGAAATGGTGGACGACCTCTGCCGCGCGAGTTGGCCCATGGTCGCCACTCCATGATCCTCCATGGATCCCTCCTAGCTATGTGTCCTGCCTATGCGACGAGGACGGCTTCACAAAGGTGAAGAAGAAGAAGAGCAAGCCCACCAGCCGGGCAGGCTAAACGCCATATACACTACGACTGAGTGTCGAGCGTGAATAATTTCTCTCACTGGCGGACACCACGGCCAATCAAATAAACACATTGTAAAAGCTGTCCCTTAAAAAAATCCATGATTCTATGTGGTCATTATCTACGTATTCATATATATAATCGATACTATACGTATATTAAAAATATTATTAATATTATTATATCAACATGTTATGTTTTGACTAGAGTTCAACTTTGATAAAGAGTTAAAGTTCCATGGAAAACTACATAAAATTAACAACGTGTTTGGATTGTTAAAATTCTTTTTGGGTTTAAAATTAAATGAACGATGTGAATTTCGTTAATAACCAAATAATTGTATAATGTGCATAATCCACGGCCACGTTTGGACTCCAGAATTAGATTAGCGTGGTATTTATTTGTATAATATGTACATTTGTTTGAAGAAAAGGTTTACAATCACTGCTTCTTTGTTTACAATTTGTTTTATTAAAAACAGAAAAGAAACATAGTTATTTTAAATACCATATAATCATACTTTTTATTGTAAAATCGGCAAAGTTCTACTAAAAATGTTCTAAAGGTATTGTTCTATGACGAAATGTAAATATTACAGGTCAGATATGTATGTCTAAAAATTTCAATTAGTGAAACGAGATTAAAAAAACATTAAGTTTGTAACTTGGAGGTCGTGTCAATGTACGGATGATAGTGAAATTTCTTATCTATAAGGTCAGCGCTAGTGGACGTAAAAAAGTACATAGTTATTTTTTATTTAAAACTAAATTGAAGACTTGAGCAGAATCAGCCGTCAATCTAAGGAGAATTTGGGAACTGGAGGGCAAGATTCAATAGAGAGATAGAAAAACTAGTGTCTGAGCCGAACATAACCGGGAAATAAAATCTGCTCGACTTCGCTGGCTAGGACATGTAGAAAGAATGGGAAAAGATCGAACTGCCAAAAGAGCGTGTTTGGGGCAACCTACGGGTCATCGTCCAGTGGCCCGTCCAAGATATCGCTGGAAGGATAGTAAGTAAGTAAGTAAAGTAAGTAAATTCTTTATTTCCTCCACGAATTTGTAACAATTTAAATGAAATAATAGTAGTGTGTATAGGAACATTTGTAGAGGCTGGAGCCTAAACTAGGATACCCAGTGTTTAGGGTTACCAGGAAAGTAGAGACTAAATTTCCGAAGTGAGCACACGTGCTTGTATTGACATAAAATTCTGACCAGTTAAATCATCGACTTTTTAGTCGTAGCGCCATCTATGAGAAATCTATGAAAGATTTATCACCCAGTTAGTACCTTTACAGCTACTAGTCCTGGCGAGAGATGTGAGTAGCGACTCACTGTATTTTAAATTTTTATTGAATTGATATTCAATTATTTTTTGTGAAATTACTCCACTAGATTGTTGTAATCATTAATACAAAGATCGAACACTCAGAAAAAACTCCTTCGATCTTAATCTATGAAATCTTTCATAGATTTCTCATAGACGGCGTTACGACTAAAAAGTCGTTAAAAAACCAAATACAAGGACACGACGCAAGCACATAGAAAAATTCGTTGGGTCCGTTGGTTCGGTCCGTTGGTATAGCGTCTGGCACGGTATGCAAGAAGACGTCGGTTTGAATCCGATCGGATCGACTGCTCGTAAAGTATTATATTTGTAGTATCATTGAAAATCGTGTAACCGAACAAAGCATAGTATTTCTAGAAATTACAGGCCCTTTTGGAGTAAGTTCCTTTTTACCGCAACCTGTTATTAATTTACGTAAACTCATACCCCAAACTCAAAACATCTTTATTTCACAGGTAAGCGAATTACACTTGAAATGGTCATATTGATTAAATTCTACCACTCATTATTCGTAAGGCAGATTCTCCCTCGTAAATATACATTTGAATACATTTATCATTTATATCTAATATTTACTTCAAACATCTTACGTTGCTACGACTTCATGCATTAACTGCACGCAGTCGACCTCGGCTACATGAAGTCGATTTCGAATGCATGAAGTTGTTATCAACTTCATGCAGTCAATCTATTTGCAGCCTTAAATAATAGAATATATGGATAGAAATAATAATAAAAAAATTGTATATAATAAAATTTTATAAACACTATTAAATAGATTTTGCTCACCGGTAAGAATCATAGCATCGTCAAAGGAAGCTGCAATCTTCTCCACGCCCTGCGAATTCTTCCCATTAATTTCTGTCGCCATCGTTGACGTCCCCTATGAATTGCACTGTAATCAGTGACATGATCAAAGCATTAGCTATTCATTCAGCAGTAATAATGCAAGCAGTGCTTCATTCTCCAAGGACTCGTAGCTTCTTTTCGTAATGTATAACCACAGTAGGGCTTGCAAGACAGCGACATACTGCTACTCCTCGAGATACTGCTATTATATCGCTCTCGCGCAAGTCATGCTTTGTCGTACTAGGCCTTCAAGCGTATATAAAAATTTATAATTTTTTTTGTAATATCAAGGAACGGGACGAAGAAGTCGTACGACTGACGGTAAATAGGTAAGGTGGCTGTCGCGTCCAGCCTCCATGGATGACCAGATTGACAGGCCACAAAGACAGATTTATTTGACTGACAGGAATTCGAAATTAGACCGACTTTGTTTCAGACAAAAGACGATAATCGACCTTCCTTTCTTTGACAAAGGAAGACGAGGGCTTTCCTGACTAAACCTCCGACTTGAGCAGACGACTTCTCCTGACTAAATTGTACAGACCGACCGTACAGTGGCAATACTTCTCTGGAAGAAATTTTTCATAAGGAGCTCTACTGCTACCAATCCAGCACCAGGTACTACAGTTTAAGATCTAGAATTTGTTTCCTTTGATGAAAAATTCCAAGCAAACTTGAGATCGTAGAACTAATTAATATGTTTTAATTTGTATCTAATTTCCTAATAATTAAAAATAAATAATTTAGTAAAAATTCATTTTGTTAAAATAAAATCAAATATTTTGTAAAACGCTTGTGGCGCAAACTGAATGTTCATAAGTTACTGGTTGGTCTTTGGTGTTTCTAGTCTGTCGTAATTTCTATATCTATGGTCGTAAGTAATATTAAGTACATACTTTTATATTTTGTTTTAATGCCAAGTTTTTGGATCACTTATTAAAAATTCTTCTTAAATTAACAATATAATTGAATAAATTAGTCTTCTTTAATATTAATCATCTACTTTTACATCGAGAAGCCCTGCTCGCCCGAACGACCAACAAGTGAGTGGTCTACCATGTAGAAAGCCGTACAAAAGCCGTTTTCAAATATTCACGTCCTGTTTTAAATTCAATTTCAACTTAATTAAAAAACCAAAATTGAATTTTAAAACAGCTTGTATTATTTTTTATTTTTAAAATGGCATTTTAAAACCTTAAAACATGCTCCCCTGAACAATTTTTCGCAATGTCGCCTATTTTACCAAACAACGACGATATGTCAAATTAATGCTTCTATGACATGAAAGTCATAAAAATAATACAAATTCCTAAAACAAATTACGTATAAATGTCCAATTTTCATTTTTTTTCTACTATATGAGCATAAAAAAGCTATCGACCAATTTCATTCAATCTTTCTCATGAAAATTTTATGGAAATAGAAAATTTGATCACGTGTCCGCATGTCGCAATAAGCTAAAGTGGCTTACGATTCGACAGAGCTGTGAGAATACTTTCCACTTTTTACTCTATCATTAATGATAAATGTGCACCTGGATATTTGAAATGTAAACTTCAATATTTGGGTGCATCCCATAGTCGCAATCTTCGCTCAAACAGCGAATTGACTCTTTTAATTCCTTCTCACTGTACTGGTTTTCTTTCTAACTCATTTACTCTTCAGGCAATACGACTCTGGAACGCTCTACCGCCCCATATTCAAAAAGCGCCGAACAAACTAGCTTTCAAGCAATTAATCCGCGATTTCATATTGGAGTCTCAATCTACATCCCATTGGTCTGACATTGTTATATATAAATTTGTATATTAAATATATATGTGTATGTATTATATATTATCGAGTGCTATTCGCAGGGCATTTACAGAAGTGTCCTGAGCATGTAATTTTTTTTAGTTCAAATGTAAACTATAATACCTAGGATTAAAATTTTCCCACAAGGTTTTATACCTAACCGGAATAACTGCTTTGTTGCGTAACAAATTTTCTACGCTAAGGTTGCGCATATAATGTAGTCAATTATTCCTGCTAATACGGGCAAGTTTTCCTTGACTGTGCCATTGGAATTGTTAGACTATTTAATCGACTTCAAAAAAGGAGGTTCTCAATTCCAATGTTTGTTTTATTTTTGTATATATCTTACGCGTTAGCTCCGGTATTTATGAGTCGATTATATTTTTGTTGGAAAGAGAAAATGTTCCACGTCTAAGGATGGCAAACTAAGGGATGAATCCGGTTTCGCTCACCTTCCTTTCAATAAAACTTAGCAAATAGATGTAATTCCACGCACTTTTGAAGTCGGTTTTTTTATTAGTGAATAAATTATACTTTTTAACTACCTAAGATCCCGTAAACTATAATAACAAAAGCGTTGGACGCCTATCATGTAGTTTAGTAGCAGCTGAAAAAGAGTTCGTCCAGGGAAGTACTGCCACATTACCTATTTCTGCCGCTAAACAGTAATGCGAGCATTACTGCGTTCCAGTTTAGAGGGATAAGGGTGCTGTTGACATTACAGGCACATGGGACTTTTCAACTTATGTCTCAGGGTGACGGGCGCAGTGGCAGTACCCATCAGATCTTTGCGATTGAAAGCTTTGAGTGGCACTGCAACTGTTATGGACAGGCGTGTAACTTCCCGTCATTCGCACGACTTCACGTTCGTCCCGTGACTTAGTGTTATAAGAAAGAATGTGGTAAATATGGTTACATGTTTCGAGTCCAAGAAAGTATCACTTTTCTGTGAAAAACGTGTTTTTTTCTATATACCCTATGGTCTTAAAGAATATATACAAGGTGTGATCGTTAAGAGTGCCCAGGCGATTATTCCGTAAATACAAGAGATATAAGAAACTGAGATCGAAAGTACGTCACCTAATAACGTAAAAAATAAAACTAGAAGTGTCCGAAATTTTGACGTTAAACGCACCCGTACGTTTAATATGACTTAATTATAAATAATTTATATTAATATTATGATTAATAATTAAGAGTCGATACCAACTCGGCTTGAATTCAAATTTTTCCCATACTAATACATTTTGCTTAGGTCGAGCTGCAAAGACACTAGCTTTATAATTATTAATACAAAGATCGAACACTCAGAAAAAAATCCTTCGATCCGGTCGGATTCGAACCGACGTCTTCTTGCATACCGTGCCAGACGCTATACCAACTAAGCCACGGAACGAACCAACGGACCTCACGAATTCTTCTATGTGCTTGCGTCGTGTCTTTGTATTTGGTTTTTCAACGACTTTTTAGTCGTAGCGCCATCTATGAGAAATCTATGACCGGATCGAAGGAATTTTTTCTGAGTGTTCGATCTTTGTATTAATAATTATAACAAACTAGTGGAGAAGTTTCACAAAAAATAATTGAATATCAATCCAATAAAAAAATAATTAATTAATTAACACTAGCTTTATTTCAAAATTAATTTATTTACAAACAAAATTAAAGCTATTTGAAAAATGTGTATCTTATAGTATATTTATGTGTTCTACTTAGTTCAGTTGATATTAAAAAGAATATTGGTATATGTATTTATTGAACACAGCGGTTTTATTGTAAAATTTCGAGGTAAGTTTGTGTTGTTATTTCTATCGTGAACGTTTTTAGGAATCGTGTATTCACACCGTATAGTAATCAGTGTATATCATTGACTTACAAATAAATGGACGACGGGTCTAATACAAAAACCACGAAAAAAATGTCCCAAGTCAACCTATTCGAAATTTAAATTGTAATGTCATCGCAGTATCGCGCTGTCAGTAGAACAAATGAAGACTAAAGCGGAGTGTCGCGCTCTGTATACGATTTTAGCGCCTTACAAGTGCGGACACTTTTTAGCGCGGACCCGACGTCCATATAATTGTAAGTCAATGGTGTATGTCCTCAATTTTACTATTTGTTATTTCCAAAGCGTTTGATTCAACGCTTTCACTGATAATTTTGAACTTTTTTACGACTTCTGTGGTCGAGTTGTTCGCACACGTTCGCGGTGTTCATGGTGTCGCCGTCTCCGAGGTCCCGGGCGGGATTCCCGGCTGGGTCAATGTACAAACTAACTTTTCTATATTGTCTCGGGTCTGGGTGTTTGTATTACCGTCGTTGTTTCCGATTTCCATAACGCAAGTGCTTTAATTGCTTTTGATCAGAACAAGGTATGTCATGTTGTTTAATATTTGTCTTATATGTTGCTCAATGTAAATATGTATATAATGTATTTATATTTGAAGTCTGGGCTATAAGAGATTAAAGAATTTGCTATGATTTTGCACATTACAGTCAAGAACACTTTTTTGTTTTCGTTTTTTGAACTTAGCACCGTTCGTGGCCAAGTTCAGTACCATATAAGTGGCATAGAACTTAATTTACTTTGTAAATGTCATACTTGTCGTGCTTTTTATGAAATTCTTAAAAACATACACATGTTTATCTAATATTTAATACTTATTACTATTATTTATATTTATGTTTCATGTTACATATTTTTTATTTCCATTTTCAAATGTTTTTTTATTTTATTTTAAAATTAAAGTTCTTACCTTTGAAATTATTTTTTCTCGATTATTTATTAGTCACTGGTAAAGGTCGTTACACACTTGTGCGTCATCGGCGGCTTCCAAATTAATACTGATCCCTTTCAGTCTGTTACACAGATTATATCTTGTTTATAGACGCCGTATGAGTGCAGGCGCAGTAGTAACGTCTTCGTTTTTTGTTTATTAGATTTATGAACGGTCTTTAGCGAGATTAGAAGGGAGAATTTTTTTGTTTATTACATTTAACAGTGGAATTCCCGTCACCGTATGCGTATAAGGTACAGTCGGAAAAAAAGACAAAGCTTCGTCGACGTCACGAGTCCTAGAGAGAAATACGCACGGTGTCGCTAACGGATTTGGTATTGTAACGTCCAACAGCCATACGGTGTCTCTAATGCGCAGCTGTGATTTCATCAACCATTTTCAAAAATGTTTAAATTTTGTTTAAAATTTGTTACAATGGAAATAAAATATGTTAAATTCTAGTTTTTAATCTTGTTATGTTAAAATTAAATAACATATTGCACTTCCATATTTGAAACAGTGACTTAACTTTGACAGGTAATAAGCATTGCCCTCTCTACAGAAAAATGAGGATGCATTACATTGACTTACAATTATATGGACGTCGGGTCCGCGCTAAAAAGTGTCCGCACTTGTAAGGCGCTAAAATCGTATACAGAGCGCGACA